TATATGCATTTAGTTTTATCATTTGGACTTGATTTGCAAGGTGTCACTTGTACACTTATTTAACCCAATAACTCCTTCAGACTCATAAGCTTTGCAAATCTATGGACTTCTGAGCCAAATGGCTGTCCTTCAGAAACCATTGCTATGAGGACCTGAACAGTGAAGACAAATGGGACACTTTAGAGCATTCACTTTAAGGTCTATTCATATTCCTACCCAACTGTTTAAATTCCCCCTCAATCTTTGGACTCTGAAAATGTAAATGCCATGACTGTGTTTATGTAAAACCCTTTTTACTTTTAATGGGAACCTATCAAATTGTGTTCATTATTTTCCATGACAGTTATTGTAAGCCTGGTAAAATAGAGCGATTTGAAGAGTGGGCGGTGTTGTCTTCCCCACTTGCTCCAGAGGTGCTGAAGTGTACCTGAGCGAGATCCGGAGGTTGTGAAGCCTGTCTTCTTGGTAGCTCTGCTAACTCCTCATCTCCTCCCAGCTTTGCAGCTTCGTGGTTTTTCCACTGCGTGGATCTGCAGTCCTTTTGTGTCATGTAGAATATAAGGACATATATCAGACAAGCCATGTATGGGGCATGATAGACAATGGTCATCTTCTAGGTTTTGTAACTCTTTTATGTTTCTATTTTGAGTGACGCTGCCTACACTCCTGGGAAGGCCTATTTCACGTTGGTAGAGAGAAGAAGGAAACTGACCTCTTTAGACCTAATCATTTTAGCCAGCTCTAATCTTTCTCTGAACCCATATGTGAGCATGTAATACAGACACTATGAAGAGTGATGATACTAGGAAACAGAGAAGATGAAGCAATTAAGATGCAGTCAGTGCCTCTTTCATCCCACTGGCAGACCCTTGCCATGTGAGGGTGCTGTACTTTATGTGGCCATGTGCTTGCACTGTCAAAGCTGTGGGCGGGTTGGTCACCACACCCCTTGGCCTGCAGTTTCACCATCAAGTAGCTGGCTGATCCTCTGAATGGTGCCCACCCCCAGGTCAAAGTCAACCAAATACGCTGTTCTACAACTCTTTCAACATGTGCTTTAAAAGGTTTAAAGTACTTAAAATATCAGAGACATTGCACCAGCAAATTATCAAACTGAATACTTCTTGATGTTTTTTTTAATTTTTTTCTCTCTAAAATATAGTATATTCAGCAATAGATTAGAAATTATGTTGTCTATGAATTTTGAGTGGGTTATTTACAATACCTTTAAAATTCACATTTAAATACCCTGAGAGTCAAAAGGTGTTTTATTTGCATAGAAAGATGAAAGATTCCCCAAAGTCGAAACTCTTTATAGTGTTCACACAGAGCTCTTGCATGGACTAGTGCAGGCCTCTAGGGCAAATTCACCCCAGTGGAGATTTTGAGAAGTCCCAGCTCTAACACGATAGTTAAACTACAGAAGATGCTGGCTTCCTCCTCAAACCTAGCACTGTGGACACAATATAACAGTGAGACATGAGTGGGTCCAATGAGCTAAAATGGAAACTCTGACAAACTCTGAGCAGACAAAGGGCAGAAGTGGCTTTGTGTGAAGGTGATGGGCAGCCTGGGGCCTAAGGGGTCAGGATTTACTGTAGGAAGTAAGCTGGCAGGGGAGCTTTTGATCTCTTTCCTCTTTGTTTGAGAAAAAAGAGCAGTATCCTCCAAGGCCGCCTATTGTCCCAGGGCCAGCCCTGGGGCAGTGCCCAGAGAGCAATGGAAACAAGAAAGACAGACAAGGGAACACTGCCCTATTCCGGCTCCTCCTTGGTTCCCAACAGTTTCTCCAGAAACTACTAAGTTATCATCAAACCGTAACCACCTCCCAGTGGTACGTTTCAATTTCCAAAGAATTTAATGACAATTCCTGAAGGACTTCTTTTCTTAGTAGCACACAGTAGCATGCATGAGACATTCACAAAAACTGTCATAAGTGGCAAAATGTTTCAATGCATTCCAATAAGTTCAATATTACACTCTCTATATTTTCTGACTATAAGGTAGTAAAATTAAAAATTAGTAACAAACAAAAAGTAGACAGAAAAATAAAAACTCTTTGGTATCAAAGAGTTCCTCTGTCTGACATTTTCATTTAGAATGAGTTATTCACATCCATCCATTCATTTTTTATGTTTCCTTGATATCTGGATAATATTGTATGAAAATATACAAATATAGGTAAAAATAAAGTCATTCAAATAACCCTGATTCAAATAACTTCAACAAATAGCTTTAACAATTTCGACAACAGCTGTCATTTATTGTACAATTATTGTGTTCACCGTGCTCTTTACATGATGGATTTTGTGTCTAGTTCTTTAAAAAATGCAGAACCCAGATTCCAAGAGGCTAAGTTGCTCACTCTCATGCAGCCAGTGGGAGGCAGAGTCAGGGCCTGAACTCGGTTCTGCACCATTACAAGGCTCACATTTTCCACTGAAGATAATCCTAATCATCCAAGAGGAAGATAACGTCACCTAGAAGTGAACTTATAAAAAGTTACATGTATCTGATTAAAAATAATTTGAAGAACTTCAGTACTCTTGTGTGTTTAGAACTGCACAATTTATTCATTTATTTTCTAGGCCATTATAATTGAATACTGACCATTTGCAAGACATCATCGAGAGAATATTTACTGATAAACAATTAAAATTTGTAGTACATGAGAATTCAAATTTCACAAACCATTGTCTTCAAATGTCAGAAACTAATCTTCTCTGGAGTCATTTTGAAATTAGGCTATAATAAAATATGTTTTCCTTGAAACTGGACAATCCACTAAAGGAAATTACACTTAGTAATTTGTGTTCTTCAACTACCAGTAGGCTACATCATGAAGATAATAAAAACATGAAAGACTAAAGGGGAAAAAGGCTTATAAATCAAAAGTATCCAACTAAATTGCTCTTCTGCCCATTACTGATGCTCTGCAGTGTGCCAGGAGCAGTATAATTTGCACACTTCAAATGCCATCAATAAACAAAAACCTGAGACCTGGTCTTTCTTTCTCAGTAAACGCTTAGAAATAGAAACCACAATAAGAGACAAAATTGGTTTTCAAAGACTAGTCCTTTTATGAAGAAAAAACAAATAAGTTTCCTCACATTGAAATTAAAGTAGCTTAGATGTGAAAAATTCCAACTGAAAATAAAAGCTTAAAAGCTTCATTTGGAACACAAATTCAAATAGAGTCTCTGGCCATTTAAGCGTATACTGTTTGAAAAATTTTAAATGTCTTATAAATACTGTGTAAAGTCAAGTATTTTTTATTCTCTTCAAATATTGCCTCTCTGCTAAGTCTGTAGCTATATGTCATGTTACATTTACTAATGTGAAGATTTATTCATTTATCTTTAGATTTATGTTTCTGTTTAAAAATATTTAATTATAACATGAACTAGTTTATATTTACATATCCTTAATTATATGATCAGTCTTATATATCCTTGATCAAGGACTATTTATCTTTGGTCCTATGTCAAAATATTTCTGACAAGAGATGAAAACGGAAATATAAGAACTCGTGATTTTTGAGAATTGTGCTTCCCTTTTTATGAAGATAAAACTTATGTCAATAAAAAGTCTGATGGAAAACACAGATTTAAAACACATTACGTTGAACTTTGTACAAAGAATGTGCTCAAAAATGTCAACTGACTGAGATATAATTACATTTGACATAGTAAACCTCTCTAAGAATTTTAATTATGATCTTTCCTTTAGGCAAATTGAGCAAGTCTGACCTTTGATACACTTGAGTCTGAATCTTATGTCAAAACACATTATTTCAGAACAAACTGAAAATACAATAGAAGTATCTCTTCTAGTGACATGAAATGACATAAAATAGTTAAAACTCAGTCATCTATAAATAAGCATTTCAACCCTCCACCATCCAGGTTATGATTCACAATCTTGTTTGGAGTAATTACGTGTTCTGTTGCTCTCTTGGTTGTCTTTCCTCTCGGGACCTGTGGGCTGGGCCATAAATCAGCCTCAGATAAGAGCAGCATTGTGGTCCCTTGTGGAGGAGGCCTCACCCACCAGTCCATTTGTGCGTAAGCCGCATTAGCCTTCTTGACTTGCCGATAGTCTTATTTCTCCATTTTTGTCTTGTTTTGTTGCAAGAACATTTAGCTGGAAGTTTCTTCATGCAAAAATCTTCCTGGGCAAGATGACTTTGCCAGTGTTTGAATATCTTGCTAATACTATTCTCTCTCTCTCTTTTTTAACTTGTAAAAATATGTTATTGATTTTAGAGAGGGAAGAAGAGAAATATTCATTGGTTGTCTTCTATATGTGCCCCAGCCTGGGACCCAACCCCCCTAGGGATGTGCCCTGACTGGGAACTGAACCCCCAACCTTTTGGTATATGGCATGGCATTCCAACCAACTGAGCCACTGAGGCAGGGTGTGCTAACAGTATTCTTGGGTACTATCTGCCTGTCAGTTTTGAATACTTGTTATATAACAGATGTGAATCTACATTGTTTTAAGAATAAAAATCTTCCACCCCAGTGCAAGCTGAATTAGGGACTTTCGGCGGATTCACTCAAGGGTGTTTTCTCAACTCTAAAGTCAATTTTGATCATCAGTTCCAGCTTTAGTTTCCCCTTAGTAGAGGTGACTGTCTATCTTGAAACTAGATGTGGGTTTGGAGACAGATAAACCAGGGACTTCTTACAGAGGGATGGCCTGTTTCCCAGTATTGCACATAGTAATTCTGTCAATAAAAAGTCAGGCTGGGTTGAGCAATTCCAGAACAGGGCATGATAAATAAATGTTTTATTTCTTTTTGTACTATAATCCAATCTTCTTACTGAGGCAGATTGGGAAAATAAGAGAGAGGGTTGAAATACTTATTATAACTATGGCAACTTAAGAGCCACTACCTATTCTTGTTTGTCTCAGGGGCTTATTCCAATCCACAGCTCTTAATACCAGGAGTAATAATTACAATGAGTTAAAACACAACCAGAGTTATGGAAGTTGGCTTCGGGTTCTTTCCGTAACTTCTATTTCTTTCCTTTTTTTTTTTTTTTTCTCCTCAGAATTTTGGCTACCTCCATCTAGTTCCCCCATCTTTACCTTTGGTAACCACAGATCTGATTTCTCTTTTCATGTTTTTTTTTTCTTTTTTAAAAAATTCCATATATAAGTGAGATCTTAGAATATATATTTTGTCTTTTTTGTGTGTCTGAACTATTTCACTTAGCATATGCCCTCAAAGTGCATCCATGTTGTCAGAAATGGAGAGATTTCCTTCTTTTTACGACTGAGTGATATTCCGTGGTGTACATATATGCCACAACTTCTCCAGCCACTCATTTGTTGATGGACACACAGGCTGTTTCCACACCTTTGCTGTTGTGAGTGATGCTGCAGTGAACGTGGAGTGCAGGTCTCTCTTTGACATGGTGTATATCTTCTTCAGATAGAGTCCGCGAAGTGGCGTTGTTAGATCAGATGGTAGTTTTGTTTTCAACTTTGGAGGGACTTCCATACTGTTCTCTGCAGGGGCTGTGTCACTTACAACCTTACCAGCAGTGCGCCTGTATTCCCTTTCCTCTGCATCCACTCCGACTTTTGTTATCTCTGGTTCTTTGGATAACAGTCATTCTAACAGGTGTCAGGTGGTATCTCAATTGGTTCAGATTTGCATTTTCCTTATGATTAGTGATGTTGAACACCTTTTTATTTACCTGTTAGCCATTCATGGGTCTTCTTTGGAAAAATGTCTATTCAGGTTCTTTGCCCATTTTTTATTTGGATTATTTATAGATTGTTTTTGTTTTTGTTACTGAGTTGTGTAAATTCTTTATGTGTTTTCAGTGTTAACACATCATCAGATATACAAGCTCTGTCCAGACAAAGTCCAGCCATTGTTGATATAAGAATGGTTTTCATGACATCCAGGTAACCTGGCAGCCAAGGAGAGTGGACTGGATTATGCATGTGTGAACAATGATGACTTCACTGTACTAGTCAGTGGGGGTGGTAGATACCATTGAATGAACATATCTACCGTGTAGCCACTGCATTCAGAGTGGCTGAGCAGTGCAACAAATCTGTATCAAATTTTGTAGTAAGCTTGAACATTCCTCTGTGGAAACTATTTCAGTGATTCAGAAGGAAACAGCTAATGGGTGACTAGTGATTGGCAGCTTCATCATGATAACGTTCCTGCTCATGCATCAGGTCTCATGCAGAGTTTTTGGTGAAACATATCAAATCACTCAGGTGACTCAGTCCCCTAAAGCCCAGATTTGGTGCCCTGCAACTTCTGGCTTTTCCAAAAACTAAAATCATCTTTGAAAGGGAAGAGATTTCAGACAGTCAGTGAGATACAGGAAAATACGATGGGGCAGCTGATGGGGATTGGGAGAACTGTGTTAGGTCCCAAGGTGCCTCCTTTGAAGGGAACTGAGGCGTCATTGTCCTGTGTACAATGTTTCTTGTATCTTGTATCTTATTCCATAAATGTCTCTATTTTTCATAGTAGATGGCTGGATAATTTCTGAACAGATCTTGTCATATTGTTTGCAAATATTTTTCCCATTCCACAGATTGTCATCATTTTTATTTCTTTGCTAATTTTTTTGTTTCAAGACAATCTATAAGTTATTTTTGAAGCACTTTATGACAGCTGCTTTAAAATTCTTGTCAGACATTTCAACATCTAATTTATCTTCTTGTTGGCATCAGCTGATTCTCTTTTCTCTTTCAGATTATGGTTTTCCTGGTTCTTGTTATGATGAATGATTTTCTATTATATCCTGGACTCTTTGGTTATGACATTAGGAGACTCTCAATTCTATTTATATCTTCTGTTAAGGTTGAGCTTATAGGTTCCAGCTACTTCTATTGACTTTAGTTCCACTGACAGGTTTTCTGAGTCTTTGCAGTGTTATTCTGCTCAGTTTCATTTTTCCAATGCTGTTAGGGCATGACACACTTCCTTCTGGTGCCATCTCTGGGAGTGCAAGACACCTCCTTGGCTGCCTAATGTCACTGGGTGATCTTCTGGGGGAAGACCCAACTGAGAAATCAGGAAAAGTGAGGGTGTGAGAACTTGGTCTAGAATTAGAATCCAGCTCAGGTCTTCAACTCTTCCTCCTGAGAGTTCTTGAGTCTCAACTGCTAAGTGCACAAGGATGTTGTCCTGAAAATATCCTGGTAGAGGAACACCCACATGAGAACCATCAGTAGAGGAATATACTCTGGTGGAGAACACAAGTCCATTTATCAGTGTTTGGGAGACAAGGGAAGTACTGCACAGTGGGCGGATATTATGATGCATTCACATTACCTGATGCATTTCTTGAAATCTGCCTTCCATTCTTGCACTCACTCTGGGTTTTCTCTGAGACTGTGAATACCCAGGCTCCACAGAGTTGGTCCAGGAGTCCCACTATCAGGGAAGAGGATAGTAGCCCCACTGAGGCTTTAGAAATACTGGCACAGGTAAGTTCTCTCCTCTGACTTCTTTTTGAAGAATATTTTAACACCTGTAGGGAAAATGGAGAGAGTTTTCTCAGTATTTCCAAAGCACTTGGCATCAAGATTATCTACTTGTCCAGACACCACTCTAAGGCTAGTTGGTATTCAGATGCTTGTTCAAAGATGCCCCTCCTCTTCAAATACATCTCAGCCTCGTTCCTCTTTATTTCCTAGTCCTACTCTAGCATTTGGTTCAGTTATGCTCTTTCTAGTGTAGCATTCTCAGCTTGTCCTGGCATCTCGCATTTCAGTGGATGTGTGACTCCAGACCCCCCAACGTGAACCCAAGGCAAGGGGTACAAGTTGCTGATGAAAGGTCACAGTGCCCAGCAGTAATTTAGTTTCCTTTATAGCAAGCCATGCACTACCAATAGCTTAGATCCTATAGTAGTACAGAATGCTAAGTCTTGTTTCAAAATAAAACTCCTCTCCTACATTCAACCCTGACACTTCACCTTCATCCTTTACACCTAGAGATGAGGGCTTCTCCCATCCAAATACTGACCAGGCCCGACCCTGCTTAGCTTCTGAGATCAAGCAAGATCGGGTGGGTTCAGGGTGGTAGGGCCATAGACAAGATAGGGGCTTCTGAAATACTTGGCCCACTGTCTCTGACCCCTGTATCCCCCCAAAACATTACATTTGATGAGAAGAGCTTTTCTCTCATTCTCTTTGGTTGACAAACCCATTGCAAAGCTTCCATAGGTTTGAATTAGATATTAAAGCAGATGCTTATGTTGGTCCCATTGAGAGTTATTAAGACAATAAAAAAATTACATCTTAATTTTTCCACCAGCTAGTTCAGCATCAGAGATTGGGAAGACCTCACTGTTGTTCTTCTTTGTTGAACAAATACCCTTTTCATTTGTACCCATCTGACTGATGACACTTTGGCCCCTTTCCTTGTTTATCCAACAAGAACTTTGGGACACAGTTCTCTCCTATGAGGCATTTTAAAACACAGATATGTGATGTTTATTTTATGTATCACTGACATTTTCTAGTGATGCATTTATTTTAAACAAAAGTTCTCCTAACAATAATCCTAAGGTTTACAAAATAGGAAAAATTTCAACAAGAAATTACAAACAACTTAATGTATTCTAGGTACTGTGCAAAGTGCTAGAAATACAAAGATTTAAAAAGTAATAATATGAATTTATGCAGAGTAATAGAAGAATTATGCAGTGCAGTAGAAGAAAATTATACACATTTATGAACAAAAGCTGATGTGTAATATTATAAGCACAATATCAAGTCATGAAATCCAAAGACCTACAACCAAGACTGCTCTATCCAGCAAAACTTTATTTAGAATGGAAGGACAGATAAAGTGCTTCTCAGATAAGATCAAATTCAAGGAGTTCATCATCACCAAGCCCTTATTATATGAAATGTTAAAGGGACTTACCTAAGAAAAGAAAGTTAAAGAAACATGAACAGTAAAAGGACAACAGACTCACAGTTATTAACAACCACACCTAAAACAAAAGCAAACTAAAAGGACAGCTAGATCAGGAGTGGAAACATAGAAATGAAGATCTCAAGGAGGGTTAGCAACAGGGAGTGGGAGGAGGAGAAGGGGGGAGAAGGTACAGAAAATAAGTAGCATAGACAGTAGATAGAAAATAGATGGGGGGCAAGAATAGCATGGGAAATATAGAATCTAAAGAACTTGAGACACATGGACATAAACTAAAGGGGGGTAATGGTGGGGACGGGGGGGTAGGGTGGAGGGGAATGAAGGGGGGAAATAGAACAACTGTAACAGCATAATCAATAAAAAAAATTTAAAAAAAACAATATCATAAATGTGGGCAAGCCCGGAGGTCCTATATAACAACTGCTTTTGACAGGCAATTGAATCAAGAAAGACTCGGCAAAGCAGGTGATATTCGAATTAGGTGCTGAGAATAAATAGAAACCAATCACATGGGAAAAGAGCAAAGGCTTGGCAAGGCCCATGTGCCATGCCCCAGAGGTGTGGAGCCGTGCTAGCAGGTGAAAGATATAAGCAGCTCTCTTTACTCAAGTGCAGAGGGGCGTGGGATGAGGCCTTCGGCAGCTCTGCATCCCTTGAAAAGGAGCTTGTATTTATTTTATTCTCTAAGAACTAGGAAACTTACGATAGATTTTTAACTTGAGATGATACAATCAGGTTTGCATTTTAGAAAAATCACAGCTCGGTGCAAGCAACGCTTTCACACCCATTTAGTACATTTAAATTTTTAATTTCATATTGAATCATATTGCCCCTTCAGACAGAAGGGCTCTAATGTTAAATGAACTTCAGCATACACATTCTTAGATATCTTCTACCTCTTGAGGGGGATGGCTCAGGAATTTTTTTTCAATGGACACAGTTTCTTTTCATGAAACTGTGTCCATTAAAAAAAAAAAGAAATTTCCTGCCTTTACGAATTTTCTACCTGGCATCAAAGCCAAATGAAAAAAGTTATTCTTTGAATGTTTACAATTATGTTGTCCTACCCGGTCTTCTGAGTGGATGGGAGACCCTCCCCCGTGAGTGCAGTGCGTGTTTGTCTGCGCTGTAACTTATGTCCTGCTTGTGACTATCTGACAGCTATCCAGAACGGCAGCCCCTATTCCGGATTTTCAGATGAGAATTCGGCTCAAAGCACACAGTAAAGGAGAACGCTGAGAGTATATATACCATAAAGGGAAAGTATCCATTTATGACTGGTCTTCTTTTGACTGCATCGATATTTTCACGTTGCTCAATAGAGATAGTTGTCGGAGAAAAAACCAACAGACGGTGGCTGTGGGACTGAAGGTGTGCGGACCCGTTTGCAGCCCGGCCCCTCCCCCTGCCCCAAGCTTTCCTCTAACCAAGGTGACCCAGGGAAGCGGGCAGCGTGACTGGGCGATCTAACCCTGCCAGAGCTTGACACAGATTTCACAGGCCATGGCTATGAGTACAAAAGTACGTCAGCCTGGATTTTGTGGAAAAGCAATTTCTGTTGGCCTCTTAGGTCCTTTATAGAACATGCCCTGGATGAGGAAAGAGGTGGAAAAGCAGTTGGTGGCTAAACAGAGTAACAACCCGGCTCCTCTGTGTCTGGTGGATGTGCTCTTCACAGACACCCAAGCCTCTCTGGTGGAATTGACAATTAGTTCATTAGCTATTTTTTTTAAATAACAGAATAGAGCCGTTACTCTCCTGTGGCTTTTGCTGGTACTTTTTATAGCCGTGGTGTGGTAGGAAGTAGGCCCCAAGCTCCCTTGGCAACACGTTCAGTAGAAGTGATACACAGAAACCTGAATCATCAGTGAATCATCTGAGGACTTCTGTTTCCAATCCTTGAAAATGATTTACTGATTCTTTTTTTATCTGTGAAATGTTTGCTGACTCCAAGTAAATACCACACAGAGCGTTAGAGTCTATTGAGTTTGGTCAGTCAGTTGAGAGGAACAGATTGGTGTATCAAAGGCATCGGCAATGGGGAAGTTCCCCCTTCTACCGAGAAACACGATGTCCCTTGCAAGATGTTTCAAGACATTGCTGCATTTAACTGAATTTTCCTCGACACCTAGGGAAGGTGATGTCTGTATCGTTCAGAAATGTTCAGACAGCCCCCAAAACAACTAATGCGGCTCAGGTGTGAATGATAGCCCCCAGATGCCCTCTCCTCCCTGAGACTTCTGGACATCAGTTACCCAGTTTCTCCTACTTTTTTCTCACTAATACATCTCTTGTATAACCCCTTGATCTCTATTCTTGTTCTGGGCTTACCACTTTGTCTTTTTGACTCAGCATTGTCCTTTAGTCCATTCTTTGTGCTTCCCCTAAATAATTTTCCCTGAAATGATTTTTCTTAGGTCAGTATTGCAATCACAGCTTGTTAATGATTCAACGGCTTCCTGAGGACCATGACTTATGAATCATTCTATTTGCAGTACACAGCACGGTGCCTGACCCATAGAAAACATTCAGTGATTTACGATCGTGGTTTTCATGTTTATATGCCTTCTGCAATAGGCCTGAATCGACTTGTGAGTACAAAGCTAATCTCATAAGTGTTGGTATCCTTACCTCATAGTCTCTGGTATTGGATACTGTACACATTCGACCAACAGTTATTGACATAGTGCATGGAATTTAAATCCCGGGCTGTTGCTGCATATAGTAGTCTCACCCACCTCGGTGACCTTGTTTTCTAGCACTCCCTTCCTTCCTGCGAGGGGAGGCTTTGGACCAGTCAAGCTCCAAGTAATCATCTAAACGATTTCCCTCAGATGAATTCCCACCCCGATTCCCTCACCTGTTTAAGTTCTATCCTTCTTCAAGGTCCTGTCTAAGTCTCATTCTCTTTACAAATGGAGGGATGGCTTCATTCCCCACAGATCTTCAGGGCCCTTGAACCCATCATGTCTATGGCCCGCATTCACATTTTGTCCTTCATGCATTCCTCTGTTGTTTGCTTCCTTTCAACTCCTGGGTGATGTCACCTATTTCCTAATCCTTGGCATCTCCCACATGTGCATGACACCAGCTTCTCCGACTATAGCCCTCATGTTCTGTCAGAGCATCAGAACTTGATGTTGTATAAGTGCCTTGGGCACAAAATGTTCAAAAGTTCATATTGTTAATTTTGTTTAGCTGCATGACTTGCCTTTTTGTTATAATGAGGTGGGGGATTTTTGCCCTCAGAGGTACTTATTAAATATTGATGAATAAAATATGTTCAATTTATTTCAAATTAATATGAGAAAAAGGAGTTTGCAATATAAGAAAAAAGTTTGCTATTCTAAGTACTATGTGTTTTAAATTTTTCGTAATATAAACTTTTAAAACTTTAGTCAATTTTTTTCCTGTATTCCTGCCTTCACCCACTTCAAACCAGTTCTTCCTTCACTTAAATGCACCATTTGCTGCCCCCCCATCCCAGCTCTCTGGGGTGTTCTTCAGGGAGGTAGCCTCATTGACACATGAGGCTGAGCAAGGTTAACTGCTCCTGAGATCAGTTCCCAAGGAGAAGATCCTGGTGTCAAGCAAAGTAATTTTAAAAGTTGTTATGAAAGCAAAAAAAAAAAAAGGAAAGCCAGCTTCATTCTGCAGGAAAAATAAGAGAATTGTGAGTGACCCTTCTACTCCATCTTGTCCCCAATTTTCTGAAAATTCTGTAAACCCGAGAAACATCCAAACTCCGCGGTCATGTTACATCCTTTGTTTGAACCATCTTTCTTTTCTCATCTTACCTACTTAGCAACTGTCTGCTTCAGTGTCATTTGAGACTCTGTTCCTCCATTCCTTTCTTTTCGTAGCCCTCCCTGGACTCTCTCTTGGGAACCCAGGGGTAGAAGTAAATGCTTCCTTATCAATATTCACATAGAACAATGTAGCTATCCTTTTTACTGCCTCTCTGTGGAGTACAGTGTTTGTGCGTGCTTCTGCACTGTGCTCCTGGGAAGAAAACACTAACGTAGACGGTCTCCCCTTGGGGTCTGAGTTCAGGGCTGGCCTCTTCAACTCCATTCCCCAGTTAGCACAGTGCCTTACAAAGAGTAGATGTTCAATGAAATTTGAAACAGAATCAGGTAGAATCTCATTTCTTTGGACATGTGGTTCCTTTTTTTCTGCTAATATTCATATATTAGGAATTCTTCTTTCCTAACGTCTCTCACCAAACGTGTCCCCTCTTTATCCAAATTTAAAGACCTCCCCCCATCACTTTCACAGCATATGTCGTGATCTGCTGTGGTCTGGGCGGCCGACGTCCTCTGTCCTGACACTGATCACACCTATTCTCTCACTGTTCTAGAGTGTGCTTAGGGTGTGGTTTCCTAGCAGACTTAAAAGGCATGTTGAACTTGATATTTGAGTGAAAATGACGTAGGAAGAGCCTAAGTTTCCTACTTGAGATCAGCGGTGTCAAATATTTGATGTCCGTTATTTGCTTATTTGATTTCATGAGCCCCATCGTTCAGAGGGGATAAAGATACACAGGCAGCTACTATCCATAAAGGGAATATTCACGTAGGTCTCTTAGGCTTCCTGAGTGATGATGCAGGGTATGCCACCCACCGAACCAGGTGCTGCTCATGAATCAACAAGAGCAGAGGGTTTGTTTCAGAGTTAAGGAAACTGAAGCTACATTAGTAGCAGGTTCAGGAAGAGAGCAAAGAATTTTACCTCAAGACTTCCTTTTATAAATTAAACTTAAAATTTTTTAATTACAGTTGACTTACAATATTATCTTAGTTTTAGGTATACGACATAGTGATTACACATCTATGTAACTTAGGAAGTGATCAACCCAATAAGTCTAGTACCCATCTGACACCATTCATAGCTATCACAATATTACAGACTATATTCCCCATGCTGTACCTTACTCAAGACTTCTAAATCCAACTCCATTGTCCATCCACTCCACATCACAGATGGCTGTGTGTAAATGGTAGTAGGCTTAGCTTAGCCAATGCTTCTCATCCATTACAGGGATTTTAGAGAAGCATTACAGCTTTGAGAGTTAGGAAGAAAAGCCTCTGATGCCAGACTGTGTTCAAATCCTGGCTCTGAATAGCTGTATCACCCTGAGTCAGCCAAGTACCACTGCAGAAAAAAAAATGAGGCAATGCGCTTAACAAAGGAAACTCAGATGGGCTGCCGTAGTAGCAACTCCTTGCTATCCAAAGCGCTCACTCTGTGCCTCAGTCTCCACATCAGTAAATAAGAATGATAATAAACTAATAACCCCTATTTTATAGAGTTGTGCATAGGATTAGATGAGTTAATATATGCAAAGTATTTAACAGTTCCTGACACATTTGCTTTGATCGTTTATTTTAAAATAGAACATATGCATATATTTTGTACAGTAAGAAAGGCAGAAATATTTAGTAAGCCCTGGCTGGTGTGGCTCAGTGGATTGAGCTCCAGCATGCTAACCAAAGGGTCACAGGTTCGATTCCCAGTCAGGGTGCGTGCCTGGGTTGCTGGCCAGGATCCTGGCAGGGGTGGAGGCTTGGCAGGGTGGGGGGATGAGACACACAAGAGACAACCATACATCAATGTTTCTCTTCCTCTCTTTATTCCTTCGTTCCCCTCTGTCTAAAATAATAAATAAAATCTTTTTTTAAAAAAGAAATATTCAGTGAATTCTTGGGGTCAATTCTTGAGACTAGTCCTAAGATCTTTATGGCAATGGCCTCTAAAATCTCTTTCAATCTCCACACCCTTTCCAAACATATTTAGTTTGAAAAATCAAATTGGACATCTTACAGGAATAGCTTTTCTCATAATAAATCAGGGCTTTCATTCCATTCCAGCTGAAGTCTAAAACACTGTTGCTCACAGAAATTTAAAGTTTTCTCAAAACAACATGATCTAAACTAATTTTTTATGCATTTTCAGGACAAGTGCTGTTGGTTCACATGTGGAATAAAAGCCAAGTTGATGTCTCTGGGGTACAAATTAATCGCCTCACAAACAGGGCGACGTATTGGGAGCTCTTCTGATGTGTGGTTGCGAAAGAAAAACTAGCAAAGCTGTAAGAATGATATACAGTTGAATTAATCATTGAATCTATCAGTAACAACTGAGCGCTCTCCTAAGCCAGGCAGTATCCCAGCAAAGGGATACACAGACTGTGTTCTCCATGTGGAGACCTAGTAGTGTAAGGAGACAGAAAAGAAACAAGTACACAGGTTAAACAGTTACGGATTTCAGGGCGGGAGTTACAGAAGAAATATACAGGGTGATGCATATGATCTTCTAGACAAGTGTGGCAGAGGAGATGTATCTTTAAATAGGGTGATTTGGGAAGGTTTGAGCAGAAACATTAAAGATCAAGAGATACAGCCCTGGCTGGTGTAGCTCAGTGGATTGAGCGCAGGCTTGTGAAGCAAAGGGTCACTGGTTCGATTCCCAGTCAGGACACATGCCTGGGTTGCAGGCCAGGTCCCCATTAGGGGATGCATGAAAGGCAACCATACAATGATGTTTCTCTCCTACACTTTCTCCTTCCCTTCCCCTCTCTCTAAAAATAAATAAATTCTTTTTTAAAAGTTACAGATTTTGGTGGCCCTGTGTTATGAAAAAGAGTCTAAGGAAACAACCATAAAGAAGTAAATCACCAGCAGGGTTTTGTTGTCATTGTTTTGGGGGGTTTTCTTTTATTTTTTTGTTCATTTTATGTATATTTTTTGTTCCTATCAGTAACCCCGATTTGCTAAAAGGTAGTTAAATTAGCTTGAACAAAGGTCAAACATTATCCAAGGCTCATACTCTTTCTCTTTCTTTTTCACAAAAGTAATACTTATTCTAAAAAGCTTTGGAAAATGAAAAGTTTAAACAAAATAAAATTTACCCACAATCTGCACCCTAAGTGCAAATGTTACGAATAGGTTGGCTTGTTACTAAAGCAGATTGTGTTTCAAGTTCTGTGTGTGGTTACCTAACTTCGTGAAACGAGGTTAAACACAGCAGGTAGTCAGCTCAGCTCAGAAAAGGGGAAGCAGAAGCAGAGGCCACGCTGACACTGGTAACAAGTATCACATGGGAGGACTCTGGCTGGCGAGAGAGTGTGGGCCTGCAAACCAAACAGTATCACATGGCAATAAGTATGTTTTAGTTGAAAAATGACAATTGATCAGGAAAAAATGTTGTAGTGGTCAGAACAACATGTCCAGAGAAATGTTTTCACTTCAAATATTGCCAAATCTTATCTTCCTAAGCAGTTATATCAACAAAAGATACAGCCCTGCCCCACTTTGAAAGTAATAGCCTTGAAGGAAAGAGACCGTGTAGAACTTCACCTTATTCTGACGGACGGAAGTTGGGGTGGGGGGTAATGCTTCTGGCTCCGACGTGGTCCACTATGATCAAACAATCATTTGAAAATTTGTCAGAGTGCTTAACTCATATTGTCCAATTGCTCTTCCAACAGCAATATTTAAGGAGACCCTCCTCACTGAACCCAATGTTATTAACTATCTTTTAAAAAATCTTTACTAGCATTAATTTAAATAAAATTTTAGGACTGAGAGCCAATTTTTATTTTCCTATTTTTCCTTATTTCTAATCTTTTGGGGATGTGGGGAGATCAAAATAGGGTTCCTCCTAGAACTAAAATGGGTACAAAATGGTCAGCCATGGTTAAAAAAAACACAACAAAAAAGAGTGTGTTATTTAAAATGTGCACAAGATTAGTCTATTTATTTATTTGTAGAAGCATTATTTTCTCAGGGCCATTTCAGTGACCTTGGGCTAATACTGCTTTTGAATCCTGCATGGTCAAAGTGGCTATCTTTGAGCAGAGATATTTCTAGAACTTCTGTAGGCCCAATATACATAAAGTAATAGGAACCATGTGTTGATGTTCTGCATATAAGTTACAAAGATCATGTGGATAAAGTTTGCCTCAGGCTCTAACACAGAAATAGCAGGTTTAAACATTTTGATTTCAA